ACGCAAAGATCTTCACCGTCCCTGAAATTATGATTCATGAATATTGACAAACTTGGCTGCTTGCCGTTCGCCGGCGATCTTGCTCCGGCCGACGAACAAACCAAACTCCCGTGTGGGTTTGTTTGTATCCGTTTGGGCCATAATAACAGATTTGGGCCCATAAGAAATGAAAACCTTTTTTTTTTTTTTTCCTGATATCAATTGCATACATTTGGATAACTAAGTAAGTTATTATTATGGCTTATAATTCACTAATTCAGTTTAAATTTAAATTGTTTATCATCTATTTTAATTTTTTTAAATCGCCTTCAGTTGCTTTTCTTTAAGGATTTGCCTTGATTTTTTGTTGAAAAAATATTTATATTTCAACTCAAAGAAAACTTTTACTTTTTGGTTTTAAAATAAAGCATTTTTCGTCGGAATATTCCAAATCTTTATCAGAAAACAAAAACCAGTACGAGACAAAAACAATTACTACCTAACAATTACTGTGTATTTTTGGGACCTTGTATGGGTTTTTACTCTTTTAGTATTAATCAAAATAAGACGCGCTGGGTAGCATTTATGCATGGGTCAGTGCTTGGGTCTACGAGCTCGAGTGATCGAGCACACAACCAAACAAAAGAAAAGAAAAACAACTTAGTTCCATGTATCGTTTTAGTCTATAAGGTATCTAAGCATTAAGCACGAACTTATACGTAAATAACCAAAAAATATATTGGAAAAGTAAAACTGCAATTGTATGCAACTGAACTGAAGAAAAAAAGACTCAAAAATAAAGGCGACCATTTTGAATCAACAAGACGATGAGATTCCAATTCGGCAGATCGGATTCCGTTTAATGAGACCGAGATCCACCTGCGACGGAGAACGAAATAGGGAATTGAGTATATATGGCAATGAAAACAAGAGAATGTTTATCTAAAGATTTCTTAAGAAGAAAGAGATCTTGTGGTTACCTTGTGTCCAAACAAATCTCGGATGCTGTCGATACCATATAATATCATTGTTGGTCTGGTTTATGAACAAAAGAGAAACATCAGAGCAATGAACACATGAGATGTTGAGGGAGAGGGAATTCAAAAAATCATACCTTTCAAGACCAAGACCCCAAGCTATGACTTGGACATCCTCAGGGAGACCCATCGGTAGAAGCATTTCGGGTCTGAACATTCCAGAGTTTCCAATTTCCACCCACTTGCCTAATTTTTCATGGTAGCTGAAATCCAGTAACAGACAAGGTTTGATCCTTTTTTTGTTCTCTCGGTTTTATGCATTTTACAAGATTAGATAGTTTCAATCAGTTACCCGAAGATCTCCATGCTTGGTTCTGTGTAAGGAAGGGTTGTAAGCAGGCTTGAACCGCAGCTTTGACATACCTGAAAAACCATAATCGCATGAGATTTTGTT